AACGTTTGTTTAGCCAACAGCTACCTAGGGATTTAGTTATTTTACTAGTGCAGTTGATAGTACCTAAATTTTTAATCTTATTATCTAAACTATGTTCGCATTCTAGGCTGCTAATATGATAAACCAATCCAGAAACCCAAATACGATTAGCAACAACGACTATGATGGGTTTATTGATAAATGTTAAAGGCGATTCAGATGATTCATAAATTTAGAAGACATGAAGATATAGTGCAACGTATGTGCGGGCCAGATTAACAAGCAGGTTGTTGACGTATATGACGATTTAAAAATAATGAACATGACCAGATAAATAAATTCCAAGTTAAGACTGCTTGTGAAACTTCAGGCAGGAATATGACGCGTTATAAACATTCCATGAGAAGTTACTGCATTTAACCTAGGGACGCTTACAAATATATGGCAAAAGCAACTGAAAAACATATACATGTTAAGTACAAAAAAATCATTAAATAAAATAGTTGAACTCGCCTGGATTATTTTTGAATATTATATTATTCAGTGGACGACATATATAAAGCCATTCGTGAGTAGTAATGATCCAAAATCATCCAGAATAAAAAGGGCAGTATGGCAATCACTTTGAGGGTGCTTGATGCTGTTAAGGATTTTTGGACTCGCTCTGATCAGAACAACTGGATGAATCCAGATAAATGTGTGTGCCATCGAATGAGCCGTCTAAAATGAACTTATGATTGCAGAAAACTTATAGCTGGAACTCACAGAATTTTTTTGGAGAAGTGTCATCCTTGTTGTTTGGCAATGGAACTCGAAAATATGAAATCAGGCAGGCAATAGTCGGAAGAAAAGATATTACAGGATAGTGCATAGTTTAAAACAGGATGGTGTTAAGTGAAGGAACGCTGAGAATTAGATCCAGATAACTATTCAATCCTCGATTGCATTGTTGGTCAATGTATATTTACGCTATTTACAGGTCATATTTGCTAGAGCTTGATGTTTAAACAAGTCTATGTCGCTGAAGCAGGTAAATGCTATTAAAGCTTGTTAACGAATCATCAAAGCTAATTAGTTAATATTGATGACCAGTTTTTATTATCGTTTGGGCTAGTATGTCATGAGGACTATTCATCATAACATCACGATAATGTATGTGAGCATTAATCAAAGGACTATTAGAATACTGGTCTTACAAAAATAAAAGCCGATTGAGAAGGTTAAGGTGGAAATAAGGATTAACAATAATAGGCTGCGTTTCTTTAGTTGGGCTCACCGATGTAGAATTATGGTCTACTATGATATTAGTACTGCTCTAATAATAGACCTAATCCTAAAATTTATTTAAGGACAATTATTCTGCTGCAGCTGCTCGACGTCCCTTCAGACGTTTTCCGTAGAGCCGAGCGTTAGCTCTATGTTGACGGATGGCATGGAAAGCGCTGTACCTTAGTTCAGACGATGTTGGTTCATGAGCCTTCAAACGTTTTGTTCTTTGAGTTATAGGGAGCACCGGTCGGCGGAGCTATGTGGCCTTCTTGATATCGTCGGGCTCACCAATGTAGAATTATGGTCTACTATGATATTAGTACTGCTCTAATAATAGACCTAATCCTAAAATTGTAGATTTGTCATGATATAACTGCCTAATCTATAAGATCTTACGTGGTCATGGTCCAATGCCACTACAAGATTACTTGTCGAAATATCGAGATGACTAGAACTGGGACTCAAATTCAAGTTTTATGAGGAGCTCCTCCAATCACTGTATCTGTACCCATAAGAGTACAGACGTCTTAGAGGTGACCCAATGACTTACAACACCTTTAACACTTCTGGACATTCCCTTAGATGCCTACTTAGACTTTGTCCCAGAAACTAGAAACTTAACAGCAGAAAAGACTGTGGACACACCCTCTACCTCCTAAGGGTAGTCAAATGCTGGAATTCACTGCTGTTGAGCTGGTGCAAGAGAGATCCTAAGAGTTCTTTTTGGAGAAATCTTGACATATTCTTAAGCCCTAAGGACATTATTTCAATACTATTTACTAGTTCTTTTTCTTTTTGCTATTTTATCGTTAATATACAATGGTTCCTACTTGGGGGCATCGGTGATCCACCGCTACTAGATACGGAAGCTCGTTAAACGAAAGCTTCCTTTATTCTCTGCAGAAACATGTGAATCATTCACATGTTCAAGCAGACCGCCCTTTGGGGCTATAAACACACAGAAGTAAAAAATATTCGCAAGTTCAGACGCCATTGGGAAGAGGTTCGTACCTAGCTAGAGGGTACGTCGTGCATTTAGGTAGCATGCAGAGTAGCGTGAGTTAGGAGAGCTGGAAAAGAGAAAAATGAGCGAAATTATGGGTCAATGACAAAGAAAGCACACACAATACAAGAAGCGACTAGGTACTCCCGGAACTCCGAATCATCCTTACCAGATCATATATTAACCTATTATGAGGATGACGTTACGAACCTCGATTACACGCCACCCCTAGGTAAGTGTAGCCATGCAGTTCTAACCCTTGACTTTCATATAATCATCAAAAAACGAGCACGCGACAGCTTAATCCAAACCGAACGTCTGGAAAGCAAATGCACAAGATATTTTACACTCAGTAGACCAGACAGTGGAGCCAGAGTCCCCAAGTGAAACAACTTAGGATGTTCTCCGAAACGTATACATAAAAGTTACTGTACAGCACATCACATGAACTACACCTAGCGGACCGAAAAACGTTCCACCATAGTTCAGTAGTGAGGTTCGCAACCTTCTCCGAAACAGAAGAAAAATGTAGGATAGATTTGAATTACTGGGGACTGAAGAGGTAAAATCTCAGTATCAAGAACATCAGAATACCTGAACGTCGACCCTCCCTAAGTCTAGAAGTTTGTACGAAGAGAAACTTGTCAAGGAACCCATAGAATATCTTATATAAACCAAAGCACAAAAAGAACAGAAAATATTATAGTACTATGGGGAGACAGTACTGCTTTATCTTTAGTAAAGGACGACTTTGATAAAGCTCAAGTATTCTCAAACTACTTTAGCATTGTATATACCGTAGAAACGCCCTTCTCGTCAGGGAATACACATCCCCTCACACAGTGGACATCATGTTCATTAAAGTACTCGATGTCTTCGGTCTGCTAAATAAGCCTGACATAAGCAAATTCGCGGGACCCGACGAACTTGATCCTAAGTTTCGCTGAGAACCTTTTAAATATATGCTTTAATCTACCAGTGACCCAGGCTCGTTTACCAAATGACTAGAAGAGCTACACAGTAATTCCTGTCTTCAAAACGGGTACGAAACATAAACGTGAGACCTGCCGACCCCTTGGCTTAACTAGCGTGGTTTTTAAAATTTTAGAAAAGATTATTTGGAAGGAGCGGTTTAATTATATCGACAGAAACCGGATCCTTTCGGAGAAGCAGTATGGTTTTAAAATAGGTTATTCCTGTCTCACAAACTTTTTAGTGACTTGTAGTGTTGCGTCGAGTCGCGGTTGATTATGACCACCACTCCAGGAAGAATACGTGCCAGTTAATTGATAAGACCCTCCGTAGGCCAAATATCAGAAGGCAGCTGATGGCTGTAGTCGAGATGTATTTGTTGGCGATCGCGTGGTATGGAAATAATACCCAGATAGTGCCAGGTTGCAAGTGGGGTTACTGAGCGTAACCGAATTCGTGCAATGTCATAACCAACGGGAGAATGTATGTAGTTTGTTACAGTTTAACAAACAAGTACGGTAAAACACTCCCTGGTACAATTAGTTAGAACAATAATTGTTTCCATTACACCAATCGTGTTCACTTGATAAAAGCAGGTCACTACAGACTCATGAAAGTTGGTGCGCTCAAAAAGATAAAAAAGTGACCTACAGACGTAACTTATATTAACTTCAGCAAAGGTTTGACAAATTTCTCACAAATGGATGTTATATAAGTTAAGAAATTTCGGAGACAATCTATTGATATGGATAAAAGATTTCCTAATTGTGCGCAAACGAAGAGTACAGGTTAACTCCAAGTTGTCTAGCTGCGTAACTGTGCTTGGCGAAGTGCATCAGGGCACAGCTTTTAGGCCAGAGTTTTTCCTCCCATATGTAAATGACCCTCCTCGTCTCATATCATCATCGGTCTTGCTATATGCTGACGATGTCAAGATATGGAGAGCTATAGGACATAAGATTGATAGTTTAGAGCTTGAAGATGACCTGGAGAAGTTATATGAGTGGTCTCAAACTTGGCAGTTGCAGGTAAACACTCCCAAGGGTATTGTGATGCATATTGATCATCAAGGTACAGATACATACATGAATAACACTGAGCTACCTGTTGTCCAGTCACACAATGACTTGGGGGTCATCGTTAGCCAAGACTTATAGACTACTGCACACTGCCGTGCAAAAGCTGTCAAAGACTTAAGAACCCTATGATCTATATGTAGGGCCTTTAGTCATGTCAACGCTTAAACGTTTTTTGACTATGTATACAGTCTTCATGAGTCCTAAACTTGAGTAATGTGAACAAGCGCCTTACAATTTAGAGGTGACTTGATTACAGTTTTCAAGTTACTTGGTGAAAAATTTGCACCTGATATGCCCCCATTTTTCTTGTTTCACAAAACAGAGAATTTACGAGGACACCGAAAAATTTCACGAGCCCAGAACAAATTGCTTGTCATCTGATTATCGACCTTCCCATAGGACCATCAACGAGTGGAATTCATTACCTCAGCACGTGGTTGAGGTTCCATCCATCGACACTTCCAAAAGAAAGTTGGATCAACTGAGAGACCATCATTGCTAGGACTGACGTAGGCCATCAAGGCTCTTGTCCTTTCCGAGCTGAAACTGATTTCAAAAACGCGCGCTAAAATAAAACCAAGATAATGGGACAAAATAATCCTTAGTAAACGAGATCAATCGCTCCTAATTTTGATATCAGGGATTCAACGGTTTGCTATAAATACATTTTTCTCGCTACCTTAGGCCTGGCGCCGTATAATTTCGTGGGATACAATTCAAGATGGAGGGACGTCCAATTTCGGATCTTAAGGTTGCCGAGCTTCGCAAGGAGTTGGAGAAGCGCAACAAAGATAAAACCGGTGTTAAACAGGTTTTGCTGGATCGTCTTAAAGAGGTTTTTTCGTCTAAGCAACCTAGATTTTTAGACTTTAGAAAAGGATGGTCACGATCCTCAAACCTATCGTTTCAGAGATGATGATAGTGTTAAAACTGACCTAGAGATATCGGATCATTCGGTATGTAATCACTTTATTCAAAGTTATTCTTTTATAGCCTGTAAATGGTGATGGACTAGGAGCTGGTAAGTAGTTTCCGTTCATATTCGTTTGTATGCCCATCAAAAACCATTTTGTTTCACTTTCATTTCAAAGTAATGGGTTAGGAGTAGGATGCTTTTAGTTGCTTAATTCAGTCGGCAATGTTTTGGATGTGTTGAGCTGATAATTTATACGTAAATGGAACCTGCGATAATACATTTGACTCGTCATTGTGAGTCACTATGTGCAATGCAAGTACAGCTGTAGCGAACACTTAGTTTCGACGTTCATGGACTCGAGCCGCTGCTTGATCAATTAAGCGGATTGTCACCCTGTAATCTTCATGCCATGCGCGTTCAACAGGTCTGTCATACTACCTGAAAAAGCCGCACCCTGTGTGCGAAGTCGTAAATTTTGGATCATTACTATTAGCGGGTTGGTCTACCCTCTATTCAATTGTAAATGGAAATCTGAAGCCGTATTTGATCTAAACACCCAGGATTCTTGTTAACAAACCCGCCAAATAAAAGAAACAATAGAGAACTATATTTTATGCTGTTATGGTAGGATGTGTTGCAAATAAATGGTTTCTTGTTTGCTTTATACCGTTACCGCCCAGAAAATCCAATATTGTTCGCATTCATCACCGCTGTTGCGCAGTTACTTTGGATTGTGCGATCTGTAATAGGTCGGCATGTATGTTATTTCTCCGATTTACATTACATTTTGGGGTTAACGACTATGATTAAGTCAGGATTGTACATTAGTATACTCATAGTCAAGTCACCGTAGATTTTAATGTCCCCTGTCTTTTGTCTGGTGACAACTACTGATTCTCCAATTAGTAAAAGCATCGACCCTATGCTAATCAAACTAATGGTAATAACTTTCTACTCTTATTCTATTGAAAGAGAAAGTTGGGCCCATCACGAAAAGACGAAGTCCGTCAGATGACGTATTGAGTGATGAATATATTATCAGTGAACATTCATTGCAGAAAAAAATTACAGAGGAAACTGTCCCATACGTTGTTCAAGTGGGTGAGCAAGAGGAAGATTTAGATTATGATTTGAAATATGGGAACAATGACGTATCCGAAGTCGCAGGCGATAGCAAAGATACCCAAGTCAAAAATGAAGAACTTGACAAAAATGAAAATAAACCAGAAAGGTTCGTAAATATCTGTCGAATGATATGATTATATTTATCCGCTTCTGACACAAGCTGTTTCTTTTTTTAGTTCAGTTACTACCCACCAGATTAGTGGTATGTTCCATTTGGTTAAGTTACACTTTACGTGTCAGAAAGCTGTAGAAATTTGTGGATAAGTAACTTACCGAAATTGGTGAAGGCTGCAGATTTAAAGCAACATTTTAGCAAGGCGGGGAAGGTATGTTTTTTGCCAATCAGGATAGTTTTTCAGGTAGTATCAGCTACTGTGGTTATGAGCACCCGCACACCTGGAGGTTGCTTTGGATTTATACAGATGGCTTCTGCTGAAGAGGCAGCATCTGCTGCTAGAGCCTATGACTTAACAGAGTTTGGAGGATGCATACTACGGGTTGAAGCTACAGAGCGAAAAGCACCAATTCAATCAAACAAAGCAAATGATCGAGTAGCTGGATTAAACAAATTAAAAACTAGTATGCCTGATTCTCGACGGACAGTATCCAGACCGTTGGTATCTCGAAGACGTTATATTGGTATGTCAACATAATTTTGTCATTGTTCATATAATTAGCCAACAGACAGCGATTGTTGCGTCGTGCTGCCATTAGAACTGCTATTTTGAGGGAACAACGGAAAAGGTCCGAATATTTATCCGCCAATAATCGTCCACATTCCATTAAGAAAACTCCTATCAGAAGACCTTTATACCAGTTTACTAGACCAAATTATAGAATGTCAAAGGATAGTTTGGTGAGTATGCTACAAAATAATACTATTTTTGGAGCGATCAGTCTCGTAGTTGCATTTTGAACTCGTACTGTGCAGTATGCTATGATATCTAATCACGATTTGCTAATCATAATGATGTCACGTAGTTTCGTGAAGTTGCTTTTCGTGTGAATTTACGATTAGATTTTCTTTGGAGACGGAAGCTCTTCGAAGCCTTAACACAGGCGCTTTAATGGATAGTTCACATGTCCCTGTGAAGAACGAAACCTTGTTGCAGAGGTAAAGTACTTTTACCAATTTAGTTCTTGTGTCGTCATATGTAAGTATCAGAGTTATCATATCTGGAAAATGGCATGTAATAATCCCCAAATTTACAAAAGACCAACTGCACATTTATCAAAGTACAGCAAGAATTTTGAGTTATTATTCGACCCTATATGTTGGAGAGAAATTCAACAATTTAAATCAATTCCTCGGAAAAGCATTGAAAGCAACTGTGCGAAGTTTCTGATGTGTATTTCATGAACAAATCCCAAGAATCTGAATTAAATGAATTCTGTTCGGTTTTTAATTTCAAAAAGTGCTGAAGTATTCGTCGGATTTGATTAGTTCCAATTACTTATCTCATTGTTTATGAATGTTTTTGATCTATACGTTTTTATAGCGTTCACGAGGCGGTCTGGCCCTTGTATCGAAACATAAAAGTATTTCACAGCGACAAAGCTCTTCACGGATCAAGTAAGTGAATAACTGATCTTGATGTTTTTTTGTACTTATTTTAGTAACCTGACATGCACAATTTATTAGCCAGAATGAAAATTTTCGTATTTGATTCATCTTGTGAACCCAACATTTTGTCCTCTCAGTTAGACTCATATTCCAAACAATCGTTCTCCAAATGTCTATATTCTGTTTTAATGAACCATTTACTACTCGAATACTCGTGGTTTTGGATCGACTCCGTTGCTAGTCCAATAATTACGGGATTTAGCTACTGCTACTTTGTGTATCTTGTCATAGTTTTATTTTCGGTTTAGGGATTTTCTCACATATCCTGGTACCAAGTTTTCAGATGTTTTAAATTATTTGGATTCAGTGTTACACCATACTAAGGGCTTATTTTTAGGAACACGAATATACTGTTCATACTATTAGGTTGTTGGCAAAACTAGTTTCCAAATTGAAACGGCTTATAACCCTTACCACTAATCGCTACGTTACTCCATCACTAAGTTTATATTTATAGCCGTTGTTAGAATAGTACTTTGGTAATTTTTGACCCATATACCTACTCTAAACTACTCGGCTAGCGGAGTCACGAAATATACTTGATATAAAGCACAAATAATTATAACTTTAAGCCTAAAAGAACTAAGGGTTCGGAATTTCGCCAGTAAATTTTGACCAAACCCGATCCCTCCTCAGTTTTCCCTAATTCACCTAATGAATGTTTCGATTCTTTCATATCACTTAAGGATGTCACAAAAAACTAAGAATTTGTAATGAAACATGTAACATATAACTTAAAAATAATAGCAGACCAACTTTTTTCTTAGCGATTAATGAACTCAACATAGATATGTACTGTTAATCGGCAAATTAGGGGGTGGACAGTTGACACTTCCCAACTCTTCATACTGCAATGGTTATTTCTACTTTCGAACCCGTGATGTAAACTCGTTTCCTAGTTATTACCTTATAAAGTAGGGTTGTGACTGTGAGGCTTCAGGGACAACTGTTTAGTGCCATTTGCACGGTTGTATAAAGCAATTGTCACTATTATTTTCGTTTATAGTTCTTGACATGGTGCTTCACGTTCTAGATCTCCCGTGGAGTCACATTAAAATCTTGCAACCGGCCCCAAAAATCTGTGTAACAAAAGGAGGGCATTCTAATTTTAATCCTTATCTTTCCCATCATCGTCTGCATAATGGCATCACTTGAGGTGGTGGTTGTCCTCGTAAAACGTCACAACCACCATTCCCTAGTATATTCAATATTACGTTTTCTCACTCGGACCTAAAATTACCAGCATTTTGTCTTACTACTCTACAACTAACCTACCTAACCTAGTGGAAAATCAATGAACAAACGTTCCAGTTATTATAGTTTATCCACGCCATTACGTTAACGGCTACGGTTGGGTCTCAGTGGTGAACAGTCTTTGGGTGCCCTAAGCGTGTCTAAACGTTTTTTTCTACTTTTTGTTTAGTTATCCGAAGAAATACCAGTTTGGTTCTTGTCACAAACTGTTTCAAACTTATTGACATACGTGGCATCATATATATTCTCACACAACCTGTTACAGCAGTGGAATTTTGATTTGTTTTGTAATTGATATAGAACGATTCAATACGTCTAGTTATTCTTAAGAGTAATACTCAACTGCATATTTCTGTTTGCTCAGTAACCACGCAGTTCTAGAACTTTAGCTCTTTTTGAACGTTTTAGCACCAATCATGGAATGCAGTCGCTGTTACAAAGAAGATTAAATTATACTGTCAATCGAAGGCTGCGTGAGCCAATTCGTATTCACAAAAGTGCCAGTGTTTCACATCGATCGTCCAAATCATTTTTGCCTAGAGTACACAGAAATTCAAATATATGTCCAGTAAACCATCGAAGCTGTCTTTCCCCACCTTCCCGTGTAATCCCCTTGGATACACTTACTTCAAGACGGAACCCAACCTTTCGCACTAATCGTCCTGTAGAAAGAGATATACGTGAACCCTATCGCCCTGTTTTGCCAGAACGAAAATATCATCCTCAGTCACCTGGTCGATCACATGAATCAAGTCGGTATGCACGAAACACTCAATCATCAGTCTATACAGGAAGAAACACTGCTAAACCAGTATACGATAGTCGTTCTCGTCAAAGTCACTTGATGACTCGTTCTGAACCGCGGTAAGCCATGGCTTTATATCTATTCCACGAAATTCATTGTCACTTCTCTTTATTTGTAGCACTTAAAACCCATCGAGGATCCAGAAGTATATTGTTTATGAGTGAAATATGTCAGTTATGCTTATAAAGCTTGGATTCTCATGTAAGAGTTACATTCGTCCTCATAGTTTGAGGCTGCACATCGGTCGCATGTGATATACACACTGAAGATAAATATGTCTACAGTATTGTTGTGATTTGTCTACTGGTGTAATTGAAAATTTTCGCACTGAATCAGATTATTTGATTAGTTTTATTTAAGATTGTTATGAAATGTTAGCCAGGTTTTACTTTTGTTATATGTTGAGTATTCAGCTCAAAAAGCATTTTGATTTCATGTTTAACAATGTCTGTTGTAGACAGATCAGTATACATTTAGTGTTAATACGATAATGTAGTACTATACCAAGTACGTCTACTCAGATTGGGTTCAGTTAAGGATTTTTAAAATGTACTGATTGAATTACATGGTTTTCAATATAGATATTTCGTCTTTTAAAGCCGTTTGTGATGTTAAGTTAATAAGTATTTTTGGTCTGACTTTTTCAGCTAGTTACATTCATTGTTACTTTGACATCCGGCAAAAATTGATAGAGCTCAGGTTATCCGTAATGTTTGTGGAATTAGTTATTGTGAAGGTGGCTTAAGATTTTATTATTCCCGGGAGTTAATTATCTGAATACAGTGGTGTTATATGAGATAAAATCAATATCATTTTAGTAGAAATAGAAAGAATAAATATAACTTGTTCTCTGAATTTCACACCTAACACTCCATAATTCATGTTTGTGTAGTTAGTTCTCATATGACCGTCGTCATCATTAGCTTTTGGTGCCATTCGATAAGACTAAGGACGAAACGGCCATCTAGTGCTTTCAAGTTTTCAATGGTGGTCTAACATTGGTCGGTTCATGATCTCAATAAAAACTCAACAATCTTCATAACCCATTACTCATAAGTATAAGCAGTCGTTTGTTAACTAGTTAGTTTATCTTCTCCGTTATATTTCCTAACCCCTAGTAAAATCGTTGTAACTCATACATTGGGACAACTTATTACCCTCATTTAGGCAAACTTACTGCGCAACCGTCCATTCTGTATCACTACACAGCTGTGAAACGTAACATATAAAAGAGTAGGCTACAAGTATTTAAAAGTAGTTATTTCTGAAGAATTTCTCGTGCATGATGAGACCAGAAATGATTAATTCTGAGATTAAAGGTGGGGTATTGAGCGAATGTGGCAAATCACTTGATGAGGCTGTGGATCTTTAACTAAGATGGCTTGGATATGTGTTGTGTATGCCCAAACACCACCTACCTCGTCGCGCAATGCTGACGCGAATAGGAGTTGGTTGCAAACTAGGAAGCGCCAAGTTAATTTATCTGACCAATACACTAGGTCATTGACTGTTAAACTGGGCAGTTTGTGTGTTGATTATCTGGTTTGGGCTCAATCGGTGATTGCCTAGAATATATCGCATTCACTGTATCTCCCACTTGATCTTAGATTTCCATTTTTTCTTTTTGAACCATATTTTCCAATGTTAAGTCTTTCTCACTAACAATGAAACAACCACTATTTTGACTCCCTTACCATTCGTCTTATTGATTTCATCTCCTCGTGCTGATATGATGTAGAAACTAAGTCCGTCCGGAATTTGTACCAGGTTTTACATTGATTATGATCGAACTATATTTTAACGTTGTTATTTATATAAAGCGAGTGGTCTAATGGCTAGGGCGTTCAATTGCCAGCCAATAAGTTTCGAACTCCGTTCCATGCATTAGCTCTCGCATTTATAATGGTTCATACCCAAATACCTGGTTAATGAGTTAATTTAACTTAGTTCTTGTGATTATTTATTTCACGTTCACTACACTATCATTTAAGTGATTTATTGGGCAATAAACTATATCCGTTACTTACAATGAATTTTCATTTGTTTGTGTATATAGGATTTACTAAAATTAGATAATTATATGAGTTTATTTCTATATTTGTATGTATATGCACGAACATAAGCTTGATGGTAGTGATATATAATTTACTTATTACCAATTCCTATTTTTAGCTATACAAATTACAGTAATTTTGATAGTCGAAAAATGGCCGTAGCCTCTCGTACAGATATGTATTCTGAAGAACGTTATCGAACTCACGATAGTCATCTATCTGAAGTACGCAGAAGTCAATTAAGGTCAAACCCCCCTACTTCACGAATGAGAGTTGAGGAGAGTAAACGAGAGTACCGTGCAGTTAGTAGAAGTCCACCAAGGTCAAGAGATTCTACAATGATGCGCCCGTATCCAGTTTCTCTCAATTTCAATCGCCATCGCACGGAAACTAGTCATCGTGGCCGCAGTCCACTGATGTTACAGTCTACACCACACAGGCCCGAAATCGTGGAGTATGAACACCGTTCAGGTACGTAATCGTCAAGTTAATATAAGGGGCCCCAGCCGATTCATCTGTAATTCTTTTGTTGGTTATCTGTCTCTTGATAATCGTAGTGTAAGGTAATATATCTAACACTTGGATTAACTGACTGCCTTATCTTTCTTTTTATTCCCAAGATATCTGAGTTTTTATAGTCGTTTCTCGATAAAGACTATGTGGATCACCTTCGTTTGGAACTCACGTTTCGCAAACTCAGTTAGAAATCGACTGTTCGTTTGCTAATTTCAAGTCGTAGTTACTTCAATATCTACAGATTTTACTTAGTCTTTTTGAACGCTACTAAGTACAAACTAGAAATATTCTTTTCACTCATGGTTTCAGAATTTAATTAGTGATCTTATTCACTTTGATTAGGTTTTCATTAGTATTGTGTATTAATCAGTAATATATTTGTAATATCATAATCTGTAGAAGTCTCAATTCCTGGCGTTTTACAATTTATCGGGAGTCGCTTTTTCAGGTAATAAATACCTGCGGTCGGAGTCTAAAAACATATGAACCACACAAACGAATACTGAATAAAAATAAATAATAGAATGAAGATATAATAAAGATTAGAAGAGTAATGAGATACCATTCAGCTTATAATCCAACCATAATCGAATAATTATAGGTCCTCTCATTACAGGAAGATCACCAGTGGTTTCTTTTTCTTCCCATATTTCGTAGTCTCAAGCTTCTAGGTTTCACTATTTCTAGATGTTTTTCAAGTGGCCTATATGTCATTATCATATTGATGACTTTTTTATTTTGATTGTTCAGTCATCTGTGTTTATTATTGAATATTATCTTTTGATACGAATAAAGTTATAAGAAACCGATAAAAACTCGAAATAAAATGAACTCATATTTTTCTGCTTTGATTGTTGTTCTTGCTTTATCCAAATTTCAAGACTTTGGAAATTATTAAAACGTGTACATTAAGTGTTCAAAACCGTTTGTTTAGGAAAAGCGTTTTCCTTTTTGTATTGTTAACTGAAAATGACGCTAGAAAACGAAATACTGGAAGTAATGTCTATACATTTCTTGTAGTGTATCTGACCATTAATTTGTCACGTCTAATTTTCAAAAAATGTGTAGATTTCTACTAACTAGTTCATTCAAATCGTTGGCAAACCAATATATATATTCTTGGTTAGAATTCTATTTCAAGACTATGTGCAAATTCGTTTCTTCTTTACTTTCAATATGTATTTTCCAATTGTAGAGCCAAGAACGAACTGGCAAACTGAAAGACGTTCCAAAGTTTTCTCATCTCCATCACAGTCGTGGAGGCCGGCAAACAATGCATTTTTCCTATCTCCTACATATGAAAATCGAAATACAGGTCGCCGATACCAATAACATTTATTGCTTATTATATGTATATGAATATGTTATATTCAAATTTGACAAGCAATTCTCTACTTACATCAATTACATTTAGCAAGTGTATTAATTGTGCGAAAATTTTTATCCATGAAGGTTGTTGATCTGCATTCATTCATATAAAGCATTTTCTTTAGAAATGTTTTAACTTTGATCCTTCACACCGCTATTGGGCTATTTATTAATCTACTATCCCAATCTAGTGATACGATGCCCGATGGTATTTAAAAGATATGCAAATTAATTAGCAAATTCATATTTGTAGAAAACTCGATGAAATGAGGGTTCAAAAAAAACTGGTCACAAATAAACGTCTGAACCGAGTATAATCTAGTTACAACATCCTATTGCATAAACGAAAAATTAAGGATAAATATCAACCACTGAATCAGACAGAATACGTAAAACCTGCAAAAAATACTATTTCAGTAAATTTTGTTAGCACCGTTGTGGTTTAGTGTCTGAGAAGTGATGTGTTCTCACTGGAGCTAGGAATGCATTGTGAGGGTTAATAATGAGTGTTTGGAGTATGTATGCACTTGAGTGTGTGTTGGTAATTGTGAGATTTTGTGGGAAGGTGGGTGGATGAGTGAATTGATAAGGCGGGGCAGCGATATACTGGTGTGCGTGAAAGTTTTTCTTTATTTACAAACAAACCAATAAGTAATATTGGTGATGGGATTGCGATTAGTGTAGTTAGAGTTTCGATTGTTAAATGAGGTGTGGATGTTTACATGTTTGTCAGTGTATCGTATGGTGTTGTTGTTGTTGGTGTTTGAGTAAGAACCCTTGTTGATCCGTCCTGGAGATGTCTAGTTTTCAGGAAGCCAACGACGAAGGGGAAATGTTTTCTGGTCTCTTCGGTGAACCAGGATTGTACTGGTTCTTACTTAGCACCAGGTAGATGTGTTTAGTGTGAGTGTGACGAATGATGTCTAGTATTGGTTTGTGTTGGAACGTGTGTTGAACTGTGTTGATTGTTTATAGCTTAGGGATGACTTGTACTGTGATGTTGGTCGTATGTTTGTTGATGATCAGTTGGTTGTCTGTGTGTGTGTGTGTGGTGTAGTTGTTGTTATTGATCTGTTTGCCTGTTTGTGTTTGTATGGTAGGCAATAGTGTTGTTAGTTTTGTTGATTTTGAATATGGTTGGACTGGGATCATTTGGTTGGGGTGTTTGTTTGTTAGTGTAGTTGACGACCCATTTATTCTGTGTTTGTAACTTTCAGTGTTTCACTTTGTTTGTCAATGGTATTGATTATTCTATTGGCGTGTTTGTTTGTGTGTGTGTGTGTGTGGTGGTGTGGTGTGGGGTGTGTAGTTTGGTTATATTTGTGAGTGATTGTGGGAGGTATTTCTGAGATGTGTTCTGTTGAGCGTGAGGTGTGCTGATGAGCTTGTTGACATGCTGATGGAATTAGGTGAGTGATTGTAGTGATATGTGTGGTTTTCGTTCGAGCTGTTCGAGCTGGATTGATTGATGATGTATAGTGTGTTGTTCAGCTGGGAGACAGACGGTGTGTGTGGTGATAGTGTAAGTGTGCGTGTAGAACGTTAATGAGTAAATTAGTTTAGTGTTGAATTTGTGTGGTTTGATGTGGGGTTACGGTTTGTGGTAATCTCTGAGTAATGAAAATTCTGTTCATAGTTTGTTGTAATGTGTGTTGATGGTTTGACGGTAGTGGTGTGTGTGTTTTTGTGAGAGTTTATATTTGAATGAATTGAAGTATTTCAGTAAATTTTGTTAGCACCGTTGTGGTTTAGTGTCTGAGAAGTGATGTGTTCTCACTGGAGCTAGGACTGCATTGTGAGGGTTAATAATGAGTGTTTGGAGTATGTATGCACTTGAGTGTGTGTTGGTAATTGTGAGATTTTGTGGGAAGGTGGGTGGATGAGTGAATTGATAAGGCGGGGCAGCGATATACTGGTGTGCGTGAAAGTTTTTCTTTATTTACAAACAAACCAATAAGTAATATTGGTGATGGGATCGCGATTAGTGTAGTTAGAGTTTCGATTGTTAAATGAGGTGTGGATGTTTACATGTTTGTCAGTGTATCGTATGGTGTTGTTGTTGTTGGTGTTTGAGTAAGAACCCTTGTTGATCCGTCCTGGAGATGTCTAGTTTTCAGGAAGCCAACGACGAAGGGGAAATGTTTTCTGGTCTCTTCGGTGAACCAGGATTGTACTGGTTCTTACTTAGCACCAGGTAGATGTGTTTAGTGTGAGTGTGACGAATGATGTCTAGTATTGGTTTGTGTTGGGACGTGTGTTGAACTGTGTTGATTGTTTATAGCTTAGGGATGACTTGTACTGTGATGTTGGTCGTATGTTTGTTGATGATCAGTTGGTTGTCTGTGTGTGTGTGTGTGGTGTAGTTGTTGTTATTGATCTGTTTGGCTGTTTGTGTTTGTATGGTAGGCAATAGTGTTGTTAGTTTTGTTGATTTTGAATATGGTTGGACTGGGATCATTGGGTTGGGGTGTTTGTTTGTTAGTGTAGTTGACGACCCATTTATTCTGTGTTTGTAACTTTCAGTGTTTCACTTTGTTTGTCAATGGTATTGATTATTCTATTGGCGTGTTTGTTTGTGTGTGTGTGTGTGTGGTGGTGTGGTGTGGGGTGTGTAGTTTGGTTATATTTGTGAGTGATTGTGGGAGGTATTTCTGAGATGTGTTCTGTTGAGCGTGAGGTGTGCTGATGAGCTTGTTGACATGCTGATGGAATTAGGTGAGTGATTGTAGTGATATGTGTGGTTTTCGTTCGAGCTGTTCGAGCTGGATTGATTGATGATGTATAGTGTGTTGTTCAGCTGGGAGACAGACGGTGTGTGTGGTGATAGTGTAAGTGTGCGTGTAGAACGTTAATGAGTAAATTAGTTTAGTGTTGAATTTGTGTGGTTTGATGTGGGGTTACGGTTTGTGGTAATCTCTGAGTAATGAAAATTCTGTTCATAGTTTGTTGTAATGTGTGTTGATGGTTTGACGGTAGTGGTGTGTGTGTTTTTGTGAGAGTTTATATTTGAATGAATTGAAGTATTTCAGTAAATTTTGTTAGCACCGTTGTGGTTTAGTGTCTGAGAAGTGATGTGTTCTCACTGGAGCTAGGACTGCATTGTGAGGGTTAATAATGAGTGTTTGGAGTATGTATGCACTTGAGTGTGTGTTGGTAATTGTGAGATTTTGTGGGAAGGTGGGTGGATGAGTCTTTCAACCAATATCAAAGTGAGAATCTTCAATACGAACGTCAAGGCAATTCTACTGTATGGAGCTGAAACTTGGAGAACTACGACAACCACAATCAAGAAAGTACAAGTATTTATAAATAGCTGTCTACGCAAGATACTCAACATCCATTGGCCGGATACCATCAGCAATAGCCTTCTGTGGGAGAGAACAAACCAACTTCCAGCTGAAGAGGAAATTATGAAAAGACGATGGAAATGGATAGGACATACATTACGCAAATCGTCAAACTGCATCACGAGGCAAGCTCTAACTTGGAATCCTGAAGGGAAGCGGAAAAGAGGAAGGCCAAAGAACACATTACGTCGGATAATAGAAGCAGATATGAAAGGGATGAATTACAACTGGAAGGAGTTGGAAAGGATTGCCTAGGACAGGGTTGGATGGAGAATGCTGGTGAGCGACCTATGCTCCTTCACGAGGAGTAACAGGTGTAAGTAAGTAAGTAAGTAAGGGTGGATGAGTGAATTGATAAGGCGGGGCAGCGATATACTGGTGTGCGTGAAAGCTTTTCTTTATTTACAAACAAACCAATAAGTAATATTGGTGATGGGATTGCGATTAGTGTAGTTAGAGTTTCGATTGTTAAATGAGGTGTGGATGTTTACATGTTTGTCAGTGTATCGTATGGTGTTGTTGTTGTTGGTGTTTGAGTAAGAACCCTTGTTGATCCGTCCTGGAGATGTCTAGTTTTCAGGAAGCCAACGACGAAGGGGAAATGTTTTCTGGTCTCTTCGGTGAACCAGGATTGTACTGGTTCTTACTTAGCACCAGGTAGATGTGTTTAGTGTGAGTGTGACGAATGATGTCTAGTATTGGTTTGTGTTGGGACGTGTGTTGAACTGTGTTGATTGTTTATAGCTTAGGGATGACTTGTACTGTGATGTTGGTCGTATGTTTGTTGATGATCAGGTGGTTGTGTGTGTGTGTGTGTGTGTGTGGTGTAGTTGTTGTTATTGATCTGTTTGCCTGTTTGTGTTTGTATGATAGGCAATAGTGTTGTTAGTTTTGTTGATTTTGAATATGGTTGGACTGGGATCATTGGGTTGGGGTGTTTGTTTGTTAGTGTAGTTGACGACCCATTTATTCTGTGTTTGTAACTTTCAGTGTTTCACTTTGTTTGTCAATGGTATTGATTATTCTATTGGCGTGTTTGTTTGTGTGTGTGTGTGTGTGGTGGTGTGGTGTGGGGTGTGTAGTTTGGTTATATTTGTGAGTGATTGTGGGAGGTATTTCTGAGATGTGTTCTGTTGAGCGTGAGGTGTGCTGATGAGCTTGTTGACATGCTGATGGAATTAGGTGAGTGATTGTAGTGATATGTGTGGTTTTCGTTCGAGCTGTTCGAGCTGGATTGATTGATGATGTATAGTGTGTTGTTCAGCTGGGAGACAGACGGTGTGTGTGGTGATAGTGTAAGTGTGCGTGTAGAACGTTAATGAGTAAATTAGTTTAGTGTTGAATTTGTGTGGTTTGATGTGGGGTTACGGTTTGTGGTAATCTCTGAGTAATGAAAATTCTGTTCATAGTTTGTTGTAATGTGTGTTGATGGTTTGACGGTAGTGGTGTGTGTGTTTTTGTGAGAGTTTATATTTGAATGAATTGAAGTATTTCAGTAAATTTTGTTAGCACCGTTGTGGTTTAGTGTCTGAGAAGTGATGTGTTCTCACTGGAGCTAGGACTGCATTGTGAGGGTTAATAATGAGTGTTTGGAGTATGTATGCACTTGAGTGTGTGTTGGTAATTGTGAGATTTTGTGGGAAGGTGGGTGGATGAGTCTTTCAACCAATATCAAAGTGAGAATCTTCAATACGAACGTCAAGGCAATTCTACTGTATGGAGCTGAAACTTGGAGAACTACAACAACCACAATCAAGAAAGTACAAGTATTTATAAAT